AGATAAATTAGATAGTTAAATATCTATAGTCTGAGTCTCATTCTTGTAAAATATTTGTAATTATTGATCTTATAGACTAGAGAAACCTTTAGTGGATTCTCAATACAAATTATTAAATAAAGATAAAGACAAAACCTCACCTTAAAAAAAAACAAAAAAAAAACACAAATCAATAAAATTTTGCAAATTATTAGGTTGGATATTTACTAATCATTTGGTAAATATTAAACCATTACATAATATTCCGTTAGATTTTGTGATAATAATATATTTTTTTTTAGTGTTAAATCATTAAAAGATAATTATAAAGAAAACTTTAATAAAAATGATTGTATCAATAAAAGTATTAATATACTTATTTAATATTTATGCTGAAATAAATTAGATACAATATAGCAGTAGATTTGGGATCACTCTTCCAACAAGTACATCAACATTGAGTGTATTTAAATATTTAACCAGTTTATTGATTTGATTTTAATCAACAATTAGTTAATTTACTTGATTAATTCATAGATTTGTATTAAAGTATAGTATTTGTTTATGAATTAGATATAATTGCATTTACAATTTTTTTTATCGATTGCTATATAATTAAGTTTTGGTAATAATCAGTACAAACTCATTTAAGTGCCTTGTTTGATATTCTACAAGTTTTTATATGCTTTGACCAATTTATTTAATCATGCCAATAGTTGCAGAATTCATTTTCATGGTTTGTATAGCAATTTTGTTAATCATTGATTTAATATTGATTAATACTGTAATATTACTAATAAAATTGTTTTTAGAGTTTGGTGGCTATAGATACGCTAATAAGATACAAAATATCCTATCTATATGTTGCTATTAATAATTAGAGACGTGTGTTTGTCATGGTAAAAATCAGATTCTTAGAAATCTTTTGTTTTCACTTTTAGTACATATAGTAAGTATACTGTAAAGTGAGATGTAATATGTATATATATGCTTTTATATTCTAATTTAATTAGGGAGGTTTTTTTTTTTAAAGCTCATTTTCGATCAACTAATGAAAAATTTTTGTAAAGTTTAAATATAATATTTAAAATTATTCATAATAAAATTCTGATCATATAGTTCTTGCATACTGGTGCGATATTTGAATTATATTTGAATTATCAGTTTTTATATTGAATCATCTATTTTTATAGAGAATACTGCATTAAGTAAGGTGCAAACCAAGAAATCTTGCCAAGTTTTAGCCAGAGAATGTGTAAAAATCCTGCAAGTTTTAGCAATAATGCACAAACAGGGATTCAATTCGGTAATTTACTATTCTGTAGTATTAAATACGGCGCTCTACAATACTTAAACCAATTTTCTTTTTAAAAAATAAAATCAGAGTTGAGAGTGCTTTCAAGCAACTTTCTAAATGTTTGCAGTAATAACCATTATTAAGTTATTGCTCAATTATTCTAATTAATTAAAGTGATTTTTAAAATAATTCCTCTACAATTTATTGTGTGAAATGTGAATTCTAATAAACTCTAAAGAGAAATTGATATTTGCAACTAAGTTTTTGTGATTTAAAATATCAAGAATGATTAATTTGTCTCAAGCAATCAGGTTATTTAGTAAGCCTATTTAGAAGAGATACTTGAAAATGATCTAGAATAAATTATAAGAATATTAATTTAATGCATTGCCGGTCATTAGTTATTTGATAAACATATTTAATTCTCATTATACTAAATACTAATTTTTTGATCTAATAAATTTACTAATAAACCTTTTATTTAATTATTTCACTACCATTAAAACGAATTAGACTTAAGTCTATGCATCGTTAGCAAAACTGTTGAAGTGGTTTTGAATTTTAAGATTAAGGTTTGGAGATTTGCAGTTTGATCAGTGATATTAAATTCTAAAATCTACTACCACTTATTTAACTATCAAGGTCTAAAATTATTTTATTTATAACAATTGTACAAGATATCCTTTATTAAAATATGAATTTTGTACATATATAGAGTTTTTAGTTTCAAAAACAAATTTAATAATAATAATGAAACGAAATTGTTATTAGGCGAAACTTAGATGCTTCACTATGAAAGAAAGATGAAACCAGTTTTGACTTTTACCAAAAGAATAATAGTGAAACTAGTAAAAGGTGATGAAATAGTAAAACTTATAGAAAACGGAAAACTGACGAAGGATAATAAAACTGGTAAAAAGAAACAAAAATAATAAAAACAGTAATCTAGTAAAAGTAATAAAAGAGGTAGAGATAGTGATTGTTATTAGTGTTCCGCAGACTCGGACTAAAACCCGGACTTGAACCGGAATCGACTCGGCGGTTCGAGTTCGGGTTTACAATTTTTCAGAACCGACCAATTCGGGTTTGTAATAACGGGTACTCGGTAGAACCCACATAGACTCGCATGTTTAATCACCTGCCTTCAACGAATATAAAATATTAGTGTTAGAGATCTATATGACGATGATAAACAATATGATAATGAACAATACGATGATGAACAATATGATGACAAACAATACGATAATAAACAATACATGGAAAAAATTTTTCTAAGACATTACTTCTAGTCTAGAACTTACTT